ACCCTTGCACTGCCCAGTCCTGCCATGCCTAGGACTCTCGGGCGTCCGTCTCTCACGCGCGCGCTATCGCGCTCGCCAGCTGCCTGCGCGCTTGCTGGCGCGTCCGTGTCTATCGCGCGCTTGTTGCGCACGTCGTCCCTCTCAATCCTGCCCGCATTGTGCTTCAGCGTCCCACGCGTTGCGCCCGACACTCCTACTCCTTCTCAGTCTGGGCCTCCCCTCGCGTACCTGCCAACCGCGCGCCCAGCTCATCCCGCACTCCTGTCGTCTACTACTTCGCGCGTACCGCTAACGCCCGCGGCCTGCTCGACTGTCGTGCACCCTCGTACTCCCAGTGCTACCCGCGTGCGCTCCTCATAGCGTTCCTCGACCCGTGCACCAATCGCCCGCGTATCTCTTGCTCGATCACTGGACCAATTGCGCGCATCAAGTCCTGATGCGCGCTGCTGGCTCGCACCTGCGTTCATTGGCCCATAACAATCCCCCTCGCGCGCCATCCGCCTATTCTCCAAGCGCCATGCGCGTCTACGCCAATGCGCGTGTGCGCGCCTTTGTCTACTGCCTTGTACGTGCCACTTCTCATGTGCTCGAGTGCCCTGCATACGATCTTGTACCTGTCTTTTAGGCCATGCATACGTCGTTTTGGCCCTATTTTCAGCCTCCTCGGGTCATCTCGGCTCTTGGAACTTCTCGTCGTCGCGGGTCAATACCCACTTACGCATCATTTCCGCCCCCTTTGAGAATGTCCTTGTCCTCAAGGACTCATCCTTGACCATCCAAATCTCGAGAACTCTTTCTTCGACCATGCGCATATCCCACTCACGGTACTCGTCGACTTGTACCAACACCTCGCTATCATCAACGACCACCTCTTCATCCGTACCGTACTGCGTGTGCGTCACCTCATCATAGCCTCCATCGCCCACGACCCAGATCGCACCAATGACCTCGGCCACTTCGACTTCTTTGGATCCGACCAAGGTTCCCTCGACTTCAACCTCGACAAGGTATTCCTCGGGGTATACATTGAGAATAGGAGATTCATCTAACCTCATCGAGACTCGCTCACCCATGCGCTCGGCTTCTTGCTCGCACAATCCTGGGAACTTCTCATCGGCCTCGGCTTGTTGCTCTTCCTCCATGATCTTGAGTTGTCTTTCATACTCCTTCTTTTTCCCGTACATCTCTTCCAAATATTCTTGCTCCCAAGGGGTTAATTCCCTCTCTTATCCTTTCAAATATTCAAGATCTTCTTGATCCCACTCAACTAATGGCTCGAACAA